GCCGGTGAGGGGACTTCGGTACGGGGTGTGGCGGCGGGGGGAGCGCGGCGCCCTGCTGCCTGCCCCCGCCTGCCCTCGGGCCCGTGGGGCTCGCCTCAGCCTGGGCGGGCTGCGGGGCAGGCTGGGCCCCTGCGGGCGCCCCGCCTTCCCCGCACCGCTGTCACCCCTGTCGCTGCCTCTGAGGTGCAAGGCGGGGCCAGGCCTTTGGGCCGTCTGGGCGTGTCCCCGTTATCGGTTGGCTTAGCATGCACAGCCGCTAGGTTCTGTTCGTAGAGCTGCCCTGTTGGTCCGAGAGGCTGGGGCTCTCCTCCTGCTCTGTCCTGACACCTGAGGGGACCAAGCCACCAGTAAAGGCACGCAGCTATGCTTGCAAAGCGTGGCATCCCCGAATGCCTGGAGATGCGAGCCTACAGGCGTGGCCAGCACAAAGGTTTTTTTCGGAAAGGGGCTTTTAAGAGGGCTGAGGCATGTGTGAGGATACTTTTTGTCACAGAAAACATGATAATCTGTCTTAAGGCTGCTGCAAAGACTCATGTTTGGGCAGAGACTGTAAATTTTGGCAGATGGGTGTTTGGGGGAGAACATTCTGCTTTATTGAACAGGACTCACGAGGCAAGAGAAACCTGTATTTAAAAAAAAATTACTGATATAAATCTGTACTGCTGACAGCAAAGTAGGATGCAGGTATATCTAGCAAGCAATTTTAGGCAGGTTATTCTCAGGTTTGCTCATAACATCCTAATACAGAACAGCCAGCCAGCTCATGGGGTTTAGCATTTGTGGACACAACTGTTAAATTAACTTCAAATCTCCTATCTGCTCAGACTTTGGAAATCCTTCACTGTTTCTATCCCAACACATGATTAAACTTCTGGTTTTAAGACCTGCAAAACAATAGGTGTCTCATGTAAATGGGCCTGCCTTTCCCAACCACAGAGAGTTGGCATCTCATAGCAAGAGCCAAACAAAACAGAAGGAGAAAGAATTAAGATACGGTGGCAGCTTTAGCTATTAACATTGGGGGAAAAAATCTGCAGCTAGAGACTTTACCACATGTGATTTCTTTAAGGGAGATTGCTACAGCAGGCAGATTTTCTGTGTTTGCTCTGTTCTGTCTCTCCTGGGGTCCCAGTCCTCTGTGATGAGAGCAAACATCTCCTTTGTTTTGTGCTCACAGAAAAGCTCAGTCTTTCTTTTGAAGACAGATGAAGTCTTAGTACTAGTTACTGAAAACACATGAAAAGGAGGCTAGTGGGGGTGTTTGTTTTTTGTAAACTTAGAATCTATAAAAATATATATTTTCCTAATCTTAATCTTGTCCAGGGATTTACAGCATCTGTATCTCAGAAGAGCCAAACTGCTTTGAGTAGAAGGAAATCTGCAAAAAATGGCCTGAAGCAGGACCTTGTGGCACTGCTGCGGCTAGGTAGGATATATTGCTCATAGGGAAGAAATGTGTTGAAATGTGTTGAAATGCCAAGTTTGTAGCACCTCCAGCATCTGGATGTTTTTCGGTCCTCACTGTTTGCGTGTTCATTTTATATCGGAAATTAGTTCACTGATAATCAGGGTGCACTTGCTGTTCTTTATCCATGTCAGTAATGTAGTGCACAGCCTCCTCTAATCAGTCATTGCAGGATGAAGAATAAACAGTGAGAATCCTTCCCCTGCTCCTCAGAGACCACGAGGTTGGATATGGTTTACAGCATTTCCTGGAGCTTAGTAGACTGTTTTGGGCTGTCTGGAAAAAGAGGAAATCGTTTTCTGAGCAGGGAACTTCTCACAGGGAATATCAGCCTCCATGGCAGGCACGACACTGCAGAAACCATGGGGCACATGTACACACAAAAAAATCTGCGTTTCCAGATGGAGAAAGGTACCTGCTTTACAATTAGGACACTACTGCCTGATTTGGAAGCCGCTATTTTACGCTGTGTCTTTTGTCTCCTCTGTACAGTGCAGGCAGGAAATCATGTTACAGGAAGTGCCTGCTAGCCTGCCACACTGCTCAGGCTGGTATGTACTTCTGCTTTTGGGAGCTGTTTTATAGGGGCTGAAAAAAAATACAGTAGAGGACTGCAATGTTTGACCTATTCCACTGTGAATATTTTAGTTTTCCTTGTGTCTCATGGAAGAATAGTCTCTCAATGCTACACAGGAGGGAAGGAAAGTCTTTCATACTATGTGCATTACATTGGGTTTTTTCCTTGCTTTGGTTTGTCCTGGATTACATGGCAGAAGTGAGGATTTTTCTTTTATAGAAGCAGGTGGAGTGAAGGACATGAGCTTGCAAATTCAAGTAAGGTAATTTTCAGAACTTGACTGGATGAGGTGCTGAGCAATCTTGTCTGTGAGGCTGGTTGGTCTTCAGGCAGGCAGTGGGACCAGATGACCTTAAGAGGCCCCTTCCAACATGTGCTTTCCTGTGGTTTCTGACTCTTTCAGTCAGAAAAGACAGGAAAACATTTCTGTGAGGAGACAGGAATATCTAGCAGATGCGTCTGTCAGTGCATCACAGGAGGGAGTATCAAATGAAACAAAGAAAGATGTAAAGACTTCACCTTGAACAAATGGTAAGAGATTTGAATCTGCAGTCCAGAGATGTCAGGTGGGAATCAGGCAGTATAACTGAAGTGCTGGGTTGGACAGAGTAAACTCTTAAGTGTTGTCTTGTACAAAAGAATGTTGTTTTCTTGTATGAATACCTGAGTCAGAGAGTCTTTGTAGATTCATTTAGCTAGATGTTGCCACAAATAATTGAAGAACAGATTTTTTTTTCATAGCTGAAAGATGTGGCTGAAGAGTGTGGAGGTCAGTATCTCTGCAGAAGTAAGCTTTTCTTTTGGTCTACTCTTTACCTAAGGAATTTTGTGAATACATCGTTTCCTGGAAGCAGTGTGCCTTCAGAATCTGCAATAAATAGAGGTTCCTGTAAAGGCCATTTTGCCTCTGTGGTTCTACTGTCTGTTATAAATTGATACAAATATGTGCACGTACAGTAGAGGAGATGGAATTTTCTGGCTGGAGCTCAGAGTTAGTGCGTCAGCATAAGCCTCGTCTGGTAGAATTAACTTTCAAATCCACTAAAATGCAACCATCCCTATGGTGGAATGTAGTGGTTATTTGAGAGTGACTTTTATGTAATTGAAAAAGACACAAAGGAAACAAGTAGTAGTCAGGAGGTGGAATGTTTTCAAAGCTGACAAGCATTCTGGAATAATTTGTGAATAGCTTTGTTCTTTGAAACACAGTGTACTACTATCCATTGCTCATGGAGATGAGGACAGACAGTTACCATGAGAGAGAGTGTCTGGCTATAAACCTGATACTTCATCTCTCTGTTTAACTTAACTGTGTTAGGGAAGTGCTGCTGGTATCAGCAGTTAGAATTCCTTCAGAGATTTGTTTCATTGTTTGGTGGGAATTGTAAGAAAACTAGGGTTTTGCTGTTTATACAATAGCCTAATATGTTTTTGAATATTTTACTGTTTCTCCCAGGCTAGTCCAACAATGCATAGTGTGAATAGCTCAGAGACACCCTGGCTACTAAGATTTACATGTCCAAGACCTGTGAGAGAACACAGTCACCAAAGGCCTTGGCAGGTGAGTGACTCTCAACATTCATTCAGTTGTAGATTCTAATGTGAAGTACCCAAGTTCAGGACACATGAAACCAGTATCTGTAACTGGGATCCCAGAATATTTGGGTGTAATTGAGCTTCTGTCTTGAAACTGGCCACCTAATAGTACCGAAGTTCTGGACAGCGATCTGGTTGGTCTGTCTGTGCTCCAGGACTGCAGTCCCCAGCATGTGCCTGAATTAATTTATGAGTTCTCCCGAGCAGGAAATTTGTGCTTTAGCCTGTCCCTTCTAGGCACACTCAGCAATGTGTATTACAGGAAGATGGGTGTGCTCTGTTCTTGTTAACTTGTCAGAGTCTGTCTATTGTTCCAAGTTTTGCATGAGGCTTCGAGAGCAATCCCAGAAGTTAAAGCTGGTCAGCAGCGTTAGTACATTGAGAAGTTGTATCACAGCCTGTCTACATCTGCATGAGTAGGCTGATGATTCAGTAAGAGGCACTCTGGTATTACAGTAGGTGCTTAAACTGTGAGTGGGTAGAATTGGACCTATATATATATCTATCTATCTATCTATCTTTCTTCAAAGCAGAGTGCCCAAATCATTAAAACCATGGCTTTAAATTGGGATATCCCAATCTCTGTTGTTTCTGTTTCATCTGTGTGAAATGTTCTCCATCTCCTACCCTGGAGTATTCTGGGAGCTGCTACAATGATGTTTTATTGTACTTCCTGCACAGAAATAATGAGGTTTGCAAGGCAGCACAGTGTGAAGGTGTTAGGTGGACTTCTTACCACTTCTCACCAGTCTATCCCACTTCGTAGCCAGGTTGTGGAACCTAGGTGAGAACCTGATCTATGTAAAGCAGGTTGGCTTTTTATACAGGCCTCTTCCTTTTTTGTTTACATTTATCCAGAGGTTCTCTTCAGCACCAGCAAAGGAGTGGTGCAGCAAATACTTTTGACTGCAGTAGACATTTTGGGGAGAAAAATAATACCAAAGTTTGGCTAACACAGAAGGGCTTCTGTTATGTGAAGGTATGAGTGGAGGAGTGAAATAGAATGGAAGGTATAAAGGGAGGAATGAAAAATGCTTATTTGCAAAGTCCTGTAAAATCTGAGATATAGCTGTCATTGGGAAGGGGAACAAAGAACTCTGGAAATAGCAATCCAAGGGTGTTTATTGAACCCTTGCATCCTTTTGAGGCAGCTTTACTGAGTTCCATGCATTTTGGTGTGTGGAAAAGTTTCCCATAAAACCTTTAAACAAGCTTGTGACTAGTTGGAATTACGGACTTATAGAACAACCCAGGTTGGAAGGGACTTCAAAAGATCATCTGGTCCAACATTTCTTGGGAAAGAGACACTGGATGAGGTTATCTAGCACTCTTTCCAGTCGCATCTTGAAAACCTCTGGTGTTGGGGACTCCACGACAGCCCTGGGGAGATTGTTCCAGTGAATGTGATCTGACGGTAAAAAATTTCTTTCTTACACTGAGATGAAACCTCTCCCAATGGAACCTGTTGCCCCTTGTCTTCTCCATATGGCTCCTTGTGAAGAACGAACCTCTTTGTAGCCATCCTTTCAGTACCGGAATACTGTGATAAGGTTCCCCCTGAGCCTTCTCTTCTCCAAGGAGAAGAGACCTAACTCCTTCAGTTGACAGAGACCTAATTCCTTTGGTTCTGTAAGGATTCTTCAGACATGTATCATCATGATGGAAAACTTTTCACCTGTTCACCAATGTGTGTTCTGAATACATTCTGCTAGTGGTTCTCAGCTGGAGAGGGGGCTGTGTCTCCCTGGTACTCTTAAGGTACTAGATTTAGAAAGTTCTGTGGTTATGGGAAATAACATCTGTCAGGTGTAATGCAACATGCTGGTTATTTCAACCAGTAGGATGAACGGGTCTTAAAACATGTCAGAAATTTAGATTTCTCCTTTCTCATTTGTTTTGTTGTTTGTTTGGTTTTGGGTTTTTTTTATGCTGTTTATCTCCTCCCTGCTTACTCTTATGTTTGATGTCCTGCTCATGTCAGGATAAGAAGCCTGTTGGAGTGTGGGGCTGATCAACAAGGTCAAGACATGACTGGAAACTATTCTGTTTATTGGGATCAAAAAGTAATATTAAGCACAGGGAGTATTTTTCCATTCTGTGCATCAGTTGCATTCCTTGAGTCTTGCGCTGCCACCAGCATGGTAGGCTTGTGCAAAAATGTGATGGCTGTAGCTCAGTTTTTAAATGGCACAAGGAAGTCACAGCAGGGATGACTCTGAATACACCTATGGAAACCACAGGAAGCAGGCAGCAGGTCCAATGTGAATATTTCAGCCCTGCCTCTGCCTTAGATCCAAGTAAAACAGGGTCACACCAGGATTAACTTGTGCTGGTAGAAATATTTAGTATGTATGTGCTGAAGCTGATTTTAAACTTTTAGTGATAACTAAACTGGTAATAGCATCTGTGCAACTCATGTGAAGTGCAAACTTGAAAGTGATGGCAGTCATAGACACAGTAAACTGAGACTTGTTTCTCAGCTGGGACAGGCTGTGAGCGTGTCATGTGCAGCGAAGCAGCCAACGTGGTGGTTTGTGAAGTTGCCTGCCTGTTCTCTTCGGCTAAGCTGGAGCAAGTGAAGTAAGTTCCTATCAGTGTCTGAACTGAGGGTTAGTCCCAGAAAGCAGAACAGATTGTAAATTTGGTTTAGCTTCACTGAGATAGTCTGTCTAAAACAGGTTGCATTTTAGTTTCCTGCATTGCAACTTCCTGAATTTTTGGTGTAATGCTCAAAAGCCTGTAATTTTTTTTTTTTCAGTGGATTCTTCAAGATAAATTTTGCTGTGGAACTAAAATTCTTCATGAACTTGTTGCTTATAAAAGCTGCTTATTGACTCATGAAGACAAGATCTTTCTGGTTAACCCACAGAATTGGTGCTGCCTGATCATAGGGGAGATACCCCCATGGCATGTGTGCTCTAGTCTTGGCTGGAGAGACTCCATCCCCCAACGATACACAAATTCAGCCTCTATTGCTTGTGCTCTTTGGCCAGAGTGCAGGAGCCAATGAACCACGTTACAAGGAATTACCTGTTTAAAATTCAAATTGACAACAGCAGTGCACTGCAGGTGCTGTTGTTTTTAAATCACATTTTAGCGTCCTCATATTCATGATGCAGGGAACAGTTTCTCCCTATTCTGATCTTCAGGACGAGTAAGATGAGGATGATGCAGGTGGAGAATGTGGCTGATGTCACAAAAGTAACTGAGATTTAAAATGCAGATAAATTCATGACCAGAGACAGCAGTGAGGCAGTTTCCTGCTTTGGAAAGGTTTTTCTCACTATATTTCCTCTTACACTTCACTGGTTTTCTCTATTTTTTCTTCTATATTTTTATTAATTCCTTGACATAATACCTCATCAAATTTATTTGATTGCTAGTTGTGTTGTGTGGCTGTCTCTGAAAAATGAAGATGCAAAATGATGCCTCTTGCTACCTTCCTCGGGCGCGTGTGAGCAGCAGTGGCAAGCAGCAAGCGGTGGTGTGGGTGCAGTGAGGAGCAGCCAAGGAGGTGTATGGTCTGGTCCCACTGAACGTGTACGTTCCAGTTCTTCCAACACTCTCCTGTTGCTACATTTAACCTAAGTACTCAGAGGAAGTGTCACAAGGGTCTGTCTGCCTGTGCTATTCTGCCAGCTGGGTTATGGTATAATGTGCCTTTAATCACAACACAAGTAATTATTTTGAATTCAAAGGTAATTCCAACTCCTACTCTAAGTCCTGCTTTTACTTCATGTGGTTTTTTTGATGTTTTGTTAGGCAGCACCTGATGTAAGTCAAGACATCATTGCTTCTGCCCAGTGCATCTTGGACAGAGAAAATTATTTTGTGAGGGTAAGAAGTGGTATCTCTTCTCTCATTTGCTCTGTGCTTTCCTGCATGTCAATGTTGGGTTTTTTTCTCCATCAGTGACTTAGGAGAAAATGTCAGTTGTCTGTATTCTTGAAAAACTAAATTTAGAAGTACAAGTTTCTGGCCTTCTCAGTCTCCTCGGGATAGGACTGAAGTGGTAAACCTAAATATGGGCTTAGGAATCATCCACCTTTGGTGATTTACCTGCCTGTTTGCAGCTCACTTCTGTTCTGTGGGTATGATTAGGTGGTCACTGTGGGCCTGTGGATTAAGGGCAGGAGGGCTGGTCTGATCTAGCAGATTGCCAGCGCTGCAGGGGGAAGGTCCTGTCCTGCTGCCTGTCTTGCACAGCCTGGTGCTTCTCAGACCCCCACTCTGAAGTGATTTCGGCTCACTAACCTGGTGAGAGAAAGTGAATGATTTTCTGCCAGTCTTGCACTACAGATTAAAAAATTAGAGTCTGAATGCTACAGCCTGTGCAAGGGAGAGCTTGGAAACAAGTGATGGGAAGTGGAGAGGGAGGAGCAGAAAGAAGGGCTGGAAAACAAAGCCCTTGTCTCAGAGACCAGCCAGATCAGGTCAGCCAGGCTGTGTAGCTTCACCTGTGGAATCTTTAATGTGGTTGGCCAATAGGTTGTATGGTTTTAATTTTCCATTTCTTACTTAGGAGGTGGACAGATATTTGAGGCACAATGATTTCTTAAATCTGAGAAAGAAGGAGATCCTGTACAAGAAATGGCTTGAGGATGTTTCAGAACCACTGCTGCAGAAAATTGAGGACAAAATGGACAGGCAGTCAAGCGAAGAAATACGGAAAAGGAAAGAAGAACAACTGTCTCTCTATTTAAGCTACTGTAAAAAGAAGGTATCAGTAAGAAGTAAATTTCTGTCAGGAGAGGGTTGTGTACAAGATCAGGGTTTTAGCTGTTACTTGCTGTTCTGTTGAGTAGCCTGGAGTTCAGATATGCCCTACCTGTAATTTTGCTTCCCAAGGACTTCTGTAGTGGTGACACATCATTACAGCTGTTTAAGCTCACCATCAGATACAAATGGTAGCATTGTTTGGTGTAGTGAGCATGTGCTGGGGTCTGGATATGGTGAGAGACCATACTGGGGTGAGTTTCCCTCTGTGAGCCAGACCCGTTAGAGGGAAACCCTTGAGCTCTGTCAGTGGAAACCGGAGTCTGTGACCAGGGAGCAGACAGCAGTCTCATGCCTCAGGAGTTCAGCTAGAGCAGTACTGCAGTATGTTGGCAGAGCACAAGTGAAACCATTTCATGGCTTTGGATGCTACTGATCTAGTTTTATAAAAGAAAAAAAGGGGGGAAACAGGAAGACAGAAAAAAATTTCTTAAGTCAGCATGCAGGTGAATAGACTCAGCTTGCGGATTCTGTAGTTCAGTGTGCTTCAGTACTCATAGAAATTGCAGTCACTGAAGGAAATCTTTGCTTGGTTTTGATCATTTTGCTCTGAATTTCACACCACTGTTGAGATTCCATGACTCAATTTTCTGCATCTGAGGAATGGATATATAGAGCAGTAAGAGCAATTCCATCATCTGCCACAAAGAGAATAGTATTTTATATAGAGCAGACTTTTGTTGTCAGTGGAAACCACTGTACAGTGGAGTTATGAGACTGTAAACAAGCTTCCCATCCAGAAATGAAAATGTCATGGGAGCTGTGCTGTTTTAATGAGAGCAGATTATCTCTTTTATAAAGATCTGATGTGAAAGGCCTATGCATTTAAACTGCAGATAACGACAAAGGACTCAAGTTCTGAGATTTAGGACGTGTTGGGTGTGCTGTCTGTGTCTGGGTCTGCATCAGTCCATCTTGAAAGCTTCTGTGTCAGGTCAGGACTTTGCTGGGTCTCCTCCAAAGGTGCAGTGTCTGGTGTACTGGGGTGTGTTCTTCTCCCTGAACAGGCACAGCACCAGTGATCAGCCTCCAGCTTTTCTCCCTGCTCTGCGGTGGCTCGATCATCAGCATTTCTGAAAAGCAGGCTGCAACCTTTCAGAGTAACAGGACACTTGATTTGCATAAATTTGCATTAATTGTGGCAGCAGGTGATAAATCTTGCAGAATCTAAGACAATTCTGTGGATTGGTTGATCTACTGAATTCTGGCTGTGCATTTCCCCCCCCCACTCCCTTCACAGAATCATCTGGGTTGGAAAAGACCTTAAAGATCATCCAGTCCAACCATGAACCTCACCCAGACAGTTCCCAACTCCACCAGATCCCTCAGCGCTGGGTCAACCCGACTCTTCAACCCCTGCAGGGATGGGGACTCCACCACCTCCCTGGGCAGCCCATTCCAACGCCCAACAACCCCTTCTGGAAAGAAATGCTTCCTGACATCCAGGAATATTCTTTTTGTCCATTTTCTTTTGCTCTCTCCCCTGCTATTAGGCTTCTCCTTGTCCTGTTTCCCAGATCTCACCTTCCTGTGTCTGTCACCAGTCCATTCCCCCTTTCCATATCTGTTTGTTCTCCAGTCTCTCTTTCTCTTTCTGTCTCCAGTCCACCCTTTTACTCCATCCCCAAGTCTCCAACTCTTTTGCCCCTCTTTCTTCAGTCAGACTCCCCAGTGCTGTCTCTCCCTCTCCTCGTTGCTTCTGATGATTCCTCCAAGTTCTCCACTGTCCTTTGCTTTCCAAAGTTGTCTTCTCCCCTTTTCGTCCATTCTCCTCCTTCCCTCTAACACTTTCACTGTCCTTCCAGGTTCCTCCATCTCAGTCTTTCTTGTTAGCTCACTTTTCTGCCTCCTTTTTCACACCATCTGAGCCTTCATTCTTTACCTCCCTTCCTTGACTCTCCATTGTTCCAGTGACCTGCTCGTACGTGGGTTTTTTCACCTTAAATCTGCCTCCTTTTCACCTCCATTCTCACCTCCCCCTTACTTCCAGTCCCCGGGGCACGGACTGCAGATGTATAGTGAGATGGCTGGTCAGAGCATGAAGATGGCAGCAGTTCTACTTTTCTCCTAGCCTTGGCAAAAGTGCCACTCTGCAGCCCACAAGGAGGAGGAAGTTTCCCTAGCCTGGGTTGCTGCTGTGTTAGCCACAACTCAGCTTCTGGTAGTCCGGGATAGCGTAGGCTATCTGCTGAGGTGCTGCAGAGTAACAGACCCTTCCGACTTGCTTTTAAGATCAGGCTGTTGCTCTCCTGTCTGCCAAGGGGTGTGTGAGTGAGAATACGTCGACTGCGTGAAGGGATCAAACATGGATGTGCTGTGCAGCACCTACCACAATCGACCGAGGTCTCAGCACGTTGTAATGGGCTGATATGTAATAATAAACCAAGGGGTGGCACTAAAACTCTGCAAATTGAGGCATGTTAGGGCTGAAAGCTTCCAGGGATGGAAAGAGGAGACAGACAGTATAGGCTGCTGCTTGCTCTCTGCAGAGTTGCCAGGTTTTTGGGTTGGACTTGTCTTGTAGCACTCCTGAACTGTTCACATTAAAACATGGGTTTTCCAACTCTCAACTTAAAATCACATCCACAGATGACCAAAAAGAAGGGGGCTGTGTAGGACCGTGACCCAGAGGGCCATGGGATGCTCCCTTCCTTCCTGGGACCCCTGGAGAATCATCTGCACAAGGAAGCTGAAAAACTTCATTTGCAAGGTTTTGAAAGAATAACTGAGAGTAGTAGGGAGGAGGATTTTATATGCTTGCCCTGTTCTTACTATTCTTAGGGCATCACTTGTGGCCTCTGTTTTTAGGGGTTTTTTTACTTCTATGTTTTGCTTTCTCTTTTGTAGAGCTCTTCTTTGATGCATTTTAGGTAAGTCCTGGCTTACTGGCTGTAAATAATGCATTATAATTTGGAGACAAATGGTTGTAATTCACCTTTCTCAGCATCAGGCTTGATCAGTGTGTCAACCTCAGTCTCTGTTCAGCTTCTTGGTAGCCTGTTCAACCTGGTGTTCTTTGTTCTTGGCATCAATAGTGAACACCAAGTGGTGGTACTTGCTGTTCCTCAGCTAACTCTGGTCACGGGGAGCTGGAGCTGCTGACTATGAAGTTTGCTGCAGGCAGAGTTCTTGAGGTGGCGCTGTGGTCTGGACCATTGAGTATGGTTCAGGTCTTTACTCCTATCTATAGATAGAAAAGCATGCTCATGACCTGGACGTGGAGCTCACATCTTGCAGACCAGTAACTTGCCTGGGGCTATGGTGGTGGGGGCTCAGCAACCTCTTTTTTTTTTTTCTTTTTTTTTTCTAATATCTGTTTCCTTCTCAGTCAAAACATTTTCCATTGAATGGAATTTCCATTTTCTTGACTGCCCTAGCTGTGATTAGCATTTTAGCCTGTAATTATCTCTGGATGCTTCCTGAAATAAATTTATTACGTATTTATGCCTATGATAAATTAAAATGGATGGAGGAATTTTCCTGTTACACTTCAGTCACCTTCATTCAGAGGTGCAGTGTGTGAAAATTTGGGCGTCCTTCTCTCCACTGCCTCTGGTGCAGTGTTCATACCGTGCCTGGCCATGGAATACCTGGGCTGGCTGCTCGCTCACTCGTTTACCACCAGCAGCTTCTGACCTGCTGCCTGCTTCTCCCGCAGGGCTGTGTGGCTTTGGAAGCTTATGACCCGTCAGAGTACGATCCGTTCTTCCTGAAGACAAATACAGACTGCTGGAAGGTGTGATGGTTATTTATGCTGTGAGGTTTACAGGCACCCTTTGATCAGCAGGAAATTAATGGTTAGAGAGGAGGCAGCATGTGTTACTGATGTGCTGCTGTGGGACTGGTGTAGAGCAACACATTGTAGTTTTATTAACTGAACAAAGAAGGGTCCCAGCTCCTAATGCATTTAAGCCCAAGAGCATTTGAAAATGATTTTCACTGGGAACATGGTTTGGATCCAGACTCAGGCAGATTTGGAGGCACAATAGGCAGTGGCAGTGGGGGAGGTTTGTTTTCCTCGTCTCAAATTCGCTGTGGCAGTGTGGGAAGTGTCCTGTCTAACGGGGGTTGGTGAGTTCCCAGGCAAGCTGGGTGTGTGCTCTGTAAAAGGAAATAATCTGACAGTTCAGATGATCTTTACAGAAACTCACTCAAATGCACCAAAGACTTGGGTACCCAGTACAAGAGTTAGGGAGGACTTGGACACAAATCCATGAACTGCAATTCTTTAAATCCCTTCTGGATGGTCTGAGCCCTATACAGCAGTTGGGAGGACTGAGCTGACACCTCATTGCAAAGTGCCACGCAAGGTTCATGGAGATCAGCTGCCTCCAGGAGATCAGATCTCGTGTCTGTGCTCTGGCTTAGTGGCAGAATTGTTGAATGCATTATGGTCTGCCTGAGGAGCTGAGATGCTCAGCGTTTCTCAGGTCTGTGCCTCATGATTTTATTAATAAAAAAAGGTTGATGCTCCTTCCCTGCTAACCAGCAGTTCACTTCTGACTTGGGTCTTTTGAGACTCTCAACAGAGTACTTGTGTTGGTGCGTAAGCGTGAAATAACTGTCTCTGTCACAGGTTTCAATACCAACTTTACAGGATCCTCTGTTAAAAGACATTCAAAGAAAGCTTATTGAGACAGGCATTATCAAGCAGTGTGAGACAGGTATTTTAAACAGTTGTTATCCCTTGGAAGTGTTTCATATTGGGGGGACCATCCTTGCTTGTGACAGTAGATGCTCACACAAAACACTTGTTACTTTCCTGCCAGGAAGACCGTGCTCTACCAGAGAGCTGAAGGAGCTCAGGAAGGCAGAACTGCCACTGCTCCCTTTGGGCCGGCAACGGATGGACGCGGCTGCGTGGCCCAAGCTCCCACACGCCTATATTGCTAGTGAGGCCCACAAAACCAAGAGGTTGTTTACTGAGAGGCAGTGCAACAGCTACATGGGATGAGGCGCAGCAGAGTATTCGCTAAACTTCCATTTCATGGTGAATATTGTTTAATTGTATATTTCTACTGAGAAAGGAGTGTTGGTGAAGGGAAACCTTCAGGTATGGAGTGGATAACAGGATGTATTAAAGTAGAGCATTGCTGGCCAAGCTGAGTCTTGAAATAAAGTGGATTTGGTGGGGAGTTTTTCCTGCATTTTCTGCGTGCAGCCTGGCAGCCAGCCCTACAGGTCAAGCCATGGAGTATCTCCTGGGTGGTTTAGTGGAGGATCTGAAAGTATTTCATGTTCATACTTGCTTTGGGTTTGGTGGGTTTTTTGTTATTAGTTTCTAGATTTTGGGAGCAGAGCAAGGTCACACTTATATGGTTCATGTTGGAAGGGATGTCTGGAGCTCATCTTGTCCAACTCCCCACTCAAGCAAGGCCACCTACAGCCAGCTGCCCAGGACCACGACCAGATGGGTTTTGAATATCTCCAAGGATGGAGACTCCACAACCCCTCTGGGCAACCTGTGCCAGTGCTGGGTCACGTTCACAGTAGAAAAGTGTTTCCTGATGTTCAGAGGGACCCTCATGTGTTTCAGTGTGTGCCCGTGGCCTCTGGTCCTGTCACTGGGCATCACAGGGAAGAGCCTGGCTCTGTCTTCTTTGCACCCTCCCATTAGGTATTTGTAGACACTGAAGAGGTCCCCCCTGAGCCTTCTCTTCTCCAGGCTGAACTGTCCCAGCTTGCTTGGCCTCATCTCATGTTTGCTTAACCAGTGTCCCCTGACCGTTGAGGTAGGGTCTGCATCCTGCCTCCAGCCACGAGGCTGGTACTCGTGCTGAGGGAGCTCCACCACTCCAGAAACTTGCATCCTATAGCCAAGCTTCTTCACAGGGTTTTTTCGTGTAGAGGCTGGTTGGACTCAAAATGCAGTAGAGGTTGCTAACAGTGAACTGATCTGGAGCAGGGATGCGGCTGCCTAAGCTGGGAACACTAGGGAGACCCAGCTGGCCTGCCCTGACAGAGGAGCATTTGCCATCAGCAAAGTGATTTATTTATTTTTAAAAAAATTATTTGTTTTTTTAAAGTCTCAGTGCTCTGATTCACCCCGCTTGAAAGCTCTGTGTTCTACACAACCCTTAAGGGAACTCCTGCTCCCCAGTGACAAAAACATGAAAGCTGAACTGGGAGCCTGATGTCCTGAACCTGACCCACTCTCTCCCTCCAGCCCCTGCCCTAGAGTTTTATGCCTCCTACCAGCACATGTTTAGAGCCGTTATAGGATAACAGCACATTCTAAAAGGAAAACTGGTCACAAAGACAAACATTTCCTGGAGTGACTCAGCAGGGAAAAGAGCTGGTGCAGGAAGCTGTGCTGGGCTACTGCTGCCTTCATGCTGCACAGACTGGCAAGTTTTTTACCTCTGTTTAAAGGCAGAAAGCCAGAGAGCCAGTGCTGTCAGCCATCCTCGAGCTGACTACAGTGGCAAGCACAGCCAACAAAGTACCACCTGCAAAATGTTACATCTTCTGCCAAAGCAAGTGACAACAGGCCTGGTCTGCTGGCAAACTGCAGTAAACTCGCTCTCTTAAATACACAGTTCTGAAGGAGTTAACCCAGCAGCCAAAGAAATGTTTGGGATGCTGCTCCTGTTATTTCCAGCTCCAGTCCCCAATGCTCTACAGGCCAAACCTTACTATTTTAGGAGGTTTAACTTGGGCTCAGCCCTACAAAGACAGTGCTGATGTTCTCTGGGTGACAGAGTCTTTGTATTAAAGGAGATGAACTGGTGAGAAAAGTTGAAGGCAGCTGCTCACCCCTCTGCTACCCAGAGCAGGATCTGGCTGTTACCCCTCGCTGGGGCAGCAGCTACAGCTGTGAGTCTGCTGCATTTCACATTACAAGAAGCAGTGGGCAGAGGGAATGGCAAAGCTTGCAAAATTTTTAGCTGCAGCTGTTGCAATTTTGCATGAAGCTGAAAGGTCACCTTGAGATTTAAGAACAAACCCTCTTTGAATGAGCAGGAGGAGGAGGTGCCACTGGAGATGTGCATGGTTAGCAGATGTGTACAGGAGAGCAGCTTAGGAAGCACTGATGGGGAAATAATGATTGGGTTTTCTTTGTTCAAATGTTTATCAGAACTCCCATAGTGAATGTCTTGCAAAATAATGTTAAGGGTACTACCAAGGTTTCAAAAGACCTTCTCCTGGAGGCAATGTACAAGCAGTAAATCAGACTTTAACATACATACTGATTGTTCTGAGAAGGCAGGAAATAACGAGGAGGGAGGAGGTGGAAGGTGTTGTACAAAATGTCTAGAGCTTTTCAGAGTCAGTGCCCTGCAGCTCAGCTTCTCTCTGGTTCCAGCTCCAGCGGCTGCGCAGCTGCTGTCAAAGCTGGAAAACAGAATTTTCTCTGTGCTTGTTCAAGAAGCTTCAAACTCCCACTGTACAGACACAATCTCTCAAGAGTTGCCAAGATTTAGTTTTATTTAGCATTAGAAATACTGAACCACAGAAAACTGTTAAAAGTAACAGAGGTTCACTCAGCCCTGCAACAGGAGGGTACCCAGCTGGCGCTGGGGCGTGACACCGTCAGACATCAGGAGGTATCGCTGCACCCGCGGGGAACGGGCGCGCTGCTAGGAACTGCATGCTGGGCTTTTTCAACAAAGCAGTTTAGAGAGGCAGTAAAATGCTTACAATGTATCAAATCCTTCATAAACAAATTTTTCTGTTTTTTCTTTTTGTACCATCCCTGATTTTGGTGCCAAGAGAAAGTTGTTTCAATCAGTCTCATTGTCCAGATTTGTGTTGGAGTGACAGTTCCCCCGAGCAAACCTTTTAAACTTGTAATAAACTCTTCTTGAATTTAATCCTGTAAGTTTTTCTCATTATTTCACATTCCCCTGTACAATAAAATATACTTTTAAAAAATCACTATGCATCAATAAACATCTGTAGACAAATTACATTAATAAACTTATATTTTACTCTCTATATACATGTTGGCAATGTCAAAGCTTCAAGATTCACATGGAGGTCTGCAAGACCAAGGAAATGTACACAAATAACTTACATTTAGGAAAAAACAAACAAAAGCTGAAGAGTATTTTTCCACATTATTGTGGGTCACAGTATTTAAAATATTTTTTTTTAGTTATTCTTCACAACCACATTGTCTCAGCAGAGAATGATGAATCAAACTGAAGCAGAAAGAAAAATCAAGTAGCAGTTACTGATTTCAGTGCAGAACTAAGTCAAGTAAAGAACTACACTTGGTTCTTAAAGAATATGCAATGTAGCGGAGACTTCTCCAGTGCTAAGGCTTCTTCAGCATTTAATCTTTACAGCTATCATCCTGAGATGGGAAGATTCCAGTGGATATCACTTTTCAGATTTCAAATGGAATGATTCTAGTGCTGAGCTTAAACCATTCCTCAGTCTATGTTAGACTAAGTGGTAAAATATACATACATCTTGATGTCACATCTCTACTTAATACTTTTTATGGCCCTGAAAATGGAAACATTGGCATCCAAAACCAAGATATTCCAAAATAATAAAAAGGCACTGAGCTATAGTACTGTATATACAGTAACATTTGTGTTTGCATAGATCAACAACAAATTTGAACGCTGCAAGGAACTAAACACAACCCAGTAACTCAGAGGAAATATGGAAGCAGCAGGAACTCTTAATAACCACCGTGGGGCAGGGAATCTTTTACAGAAAAAGTTCAGTCTGTCAGCTTCAGTTGTCCTTCATAAATTTAAAAAAGTGTTCTTAGATGAGTGTTTTCTGATCAAAGAGCTGCAGGTCAAAACGGACCCAGACTTCGCCTGTTGGAACTTCATGCAGCAGTAAATGTTTGGTCGTGGGGCCTTTGCTTTCTTGTTCTGTTCTGATTTTTGCTACTGGAACTTCAGTGCGACCCAAAAAATCTGTTGGGCAAGTGAATAAGAAAATTCATTATGCAAAGACATTAAGCTTAGAAAATCTGAAAGTGTCAGGTTAAGCAGCAACACTGCACAGTGTATATTCAGTTCCAAAGCACTGGTCCCAAGCTTCCTGTCTGACTTGCCGCCAGCCCTGCCTGTATCAGCCAGCACTGACAAAAAAGGTTTTCTTCAGAAGACAAAAATGCTGTGGAATTAGGATGGAAAACATGCCTTCATGTCACAGTTTGATCTAAGGGCTTTAAAAATACAGTTCAAAAATACAGGAACACAATTTCAATTGATACAATAACTGAAGGACATATGGTTCTTCAAATGTTACCCTGTCTTAGGGCTGGAAGCTCAGAGTTAAGTGATGGAACCTGTTTACAAGTCAGCTGTGGTGCTATGAAGGCAATAAAAAAAAAAATCTATTCTGGCTCAGCCAACTTTTAATTAGGCTCATATATCATTCTTTTCACATGAAAAATGACCTTGAACAATTACTGCCACTAGTAGGTTTACAGTCCTGTTAGGAAATTATAGACCCTCTTTGTAGCAATTTCATATATATATTGTGTGTGTGTGTGTGTGTGCATTAAAAGATTTACTGTGAACTGAAAAAAATCCCAGACTTGGCTGTCCAACTGGGAGAAGCAGCCTAGCAAAATCACCTTACCTCACAGGAGAAAAGACTGAGCTACAGTGACGCACAGGACAACTCAAGTCAAGGCAGGACCTTGCAAATCTGCAATAATTCATGTGTCTGAGCCCTGAAAAGGCCCTTAACCTTTTAAAGAGAAGCATCTGACTACAAAAAACATGTTTCCAAGCAAAATATGAAAGCTTGTCAAGCTGTTGCTGTGCAAATATAACTTAGCACCTTATTTTTGGGCACCTATAGTGTGAGTGAAAAGCTTCTGCTTTCAACTTCTCTGTCTCCTCAGCCTGACAGAAAAATAATTCTGTGTCTGATTCAAAAGCCAGAGCGGGATCCAACGTGCCTGCCCAGAGCTGTTGGCTCTGGAAGGCTACTGAACCTCCTGAGAAAGGAGGCATCGTTTTTACACAACACTTCTCAGGAAGCAGCCATACCTACAGGCTCTTGGAACTGCTGGCGAGGAACTGTGTACCCCAAGTCACAGAAGAGCATTCGTGTCCTCAAACAAATATTCACACTTACCATCGGGTGAGAACTGATCCCTGTCAAACATGGTGATACACAGGACATCCTGGTACAGGTCCTTAATGAAGAACTGGCAGTTGAAGTTCCACTTGGGGTTCAGGGTGTCCTGCAGGGTCCTCGTCGTGTAGCTCTGGGAGCCCATGCTGATTTCACAATACGGGTTGCTCTTCCCTAAAGACAGAAGGAGCAGTGGAACACCTCTGCAGCACAAAACACTCCCTCCCTGTCTGGAGGCTGCTTGGACACACACCTACCGACGCTGCTGTCTAGAAGATGTGGGTCAGGCAATCCCTATAGCCTAGAGCAGCACAGAGCTGGTTCTTCACTCAGCTCTCTAAACTAAATAATGGCTGATTTGTTCAGAAGCTGTAGCTGAAACCACAATGTTTCCCCAATCACCGAACTCCTCTCAGCAAGGCATTCCAAACGTTGCAGGT